CCGAATTCAAAAACTTATCGAATTCGGCCGAAACAATTTTTATCAGTTGTCCCAGAATTTATGAGAACAGCTGTAATGCAAATTTTCAACCCAATTCTATATCGATTCGTATTATAAATTGATTACATATAGTATAATTATGGAAAAGACGCTACTGGCAATAGGCTCCACTTGTCTCTCATATGTATCTGTAGCCAGTAGCAGTCTTTCAATCCGTTCGGAACTTTTTCTGCACAAGCGTATAAAACATATCGCGTATTTGTGTAACTTATACTGCAGTCCAGCCATTCCTAATTTGAGGTCGTCTAAAAAGCCAGGTTTTTAAACTAACAAATTTGTAAATTGTAAATCACGTGATACATATAAATACTAATTTGATAAGAATAAATTGTACGTATATCTTTTATTACGCAATAAAAAAATACCATCATTACTTCCAAAAATAGAAGTTTAATTATTTTAATGCGACAATCAAAAAAGCTCCAAAAATAAATTTATGTACGTACGTACGTACGCCGAGACAAATCAATTTAATCCTTTCTTTCCCTTCGTATTCATCCACTCATTCATTCATTCACTCACTATCAAAAACACTCTCCTAACAGTAGAAAGAAAAAATGTTATCGAATTTTGTTGAATCGCTTTTTGATCCTTCAGAATTGGTTGCTTTAGTAAGATATTATCTTTTCAGACAATCAACGATGGTGGATATTTCTATTTGGAGTAAGACAAAGCAACGATGTTACTATTTTTTAAAATTGACATCGGGTTCATTCGCAGATATTATTATGGATTTAGATCCAAAGCTTCGTGATCTTGTAAGTTTCAAGGACCATTACTAGGAGCCTAAATTAAAGTATTTATGTTTTGAATTTCGTTACAGGTTTGTATATTTTATTTATGTTTACGTGGAATGGATACGATAGAGGATGACATGACTTTACCCATTAACATAAAAGCACCGATGTTGAGATCTTTTTATAAAAAGATCGGTCAAAGAGGTTGGACATTCACTGAAAGTAAGTTATTTATTTATTCATTTTTATTTGATATATCTGATGGTAATTTTTTATTTATTTATTCACTTAGATGGACCCGATGAAAAAGATAGGCAATTGCTTGTAGAATTTGATGTCGTTATTGAAGAATTCTTACTTCTTCCAAAAGAGTATGTTTATGCTTTATGCTTTATTATTATATATATAATTACCTTGAGCTTCTTGATATGTTCTCTTCAGGTGTCAGGAAATCATTATAAATGTTACTAAACAAATGGGTAATGGCATGACAGATTTTGTATCGATTTCAGCTCGTGATAAATACAGCATAATCACATTAAAAGATTTTGATAAGTACTGTTATTATGTTGCTGGACTCGTCGGAATTGGTATAAGTGATTTGTTTAACTCTGTTGGTGCAATAATTCCTGATACAACAAAAAATTTTGATACGTAAGTTTACATATAAATGTTTAGTATGATTTTTTTTTTTTACTTTACTGTAGACGTTAATTTGTTAATTTAGCATAATCTCAATGGGAATTTTTCTACAAAAACTGAATATACTTCGAGATTTTGTGGAAGATCTAAAAGAAAATCGAAAATTCTGGCCAAAAGAAATTTGGGGTCAATATGTTTCAGAAATTGAAGATTTAATTCTTATTGAAAACAAGCAAAAAGCTTTAAATTGTCTTTCCGATATGGTGTTAAACACATTACTTCATGTACCTGATTGTTTGAATTATTTAATTCAACTCGATGATCCTGGCATCTTTTTTTTTGCTGCCATGCCACTTGTTATGGGATATAGTACTTTAGCATTCACTTTCAAAAACTATGACTCTTACAGTAAAGTTCTAAAGATTAGAAAAGGAGAAGGTGCCAAGGTATGTTTAAATATTTAGAACTTACATTTGTAGGAAATAAATGTGCCTTGCTGTTATAGGTTTGTAACGATAATAATCTCATTTTATAGCTTTTCTTCAGATGTACAAGTATGTCTGAGGTTGCAAAATTGTTCTTTGAATACACTCAAGTAATAATTTCAAAAAACAATGATCCTCAAGATCCAAATTTTGCCAAAATTAATGATATTTGTGAACAGGTATTTTTTTTCATATATATAATTATAAATATGAAAGCTTTGTATAGTTTGAAGATATTAATTTAATATTTTTGCAACTTTTAAATGAAGATTATACAGCAGTGTAAAGAAAACATCATAAATCTTGACAATCATTTTTATCATTTTTATATGAGTAAATAGCCAAGTATAGTTACTCTTTAAACACAATCCTTTTAGGTCATATAACCAACTATATAGACATTAAAGTTTATGCGCATTTTACCGGCAAGTTCATATGTTTTTTTGACATCCCAAATTTGGTTTGGCCGATATAATTGCCAACACTAAACAATTGTAAACCTATTTACTGTCTAATAATCCCAAAATTACGTATTACAAAAATAACGTAGTTTTTAATTTTTTTTATTATAGTAAAAGTTTTAGAGAGCATGTATGTCCATAGAGAAAGTCAAACTGTATTTATTTTTGATGTCAAAGTAGTTCTTTTTAAAGAATGTCTTCTCAAATAAATTCATGAATATTTATCATTTATAATGTATGAGATTTTAATAATAAAAGTGGTTACGTACGGGATTTGATAAACGTTAGCTCGTTTTTTTCACATCCTGTAATAAATATGAATCGCTTGGAGAATCGGATAAATGAATCAAAATCATGTCTTTAAATAAAGCTTACCCTAAACATTAAAGAAATTCTTCTTCCCTTTGGAATAATCTGGCCTTTAAATACATGTTGAGCAGGATCTTGAGGAATCTCGTGAGTAAAGTTAAAACGAACCTTCTCCCTTTGTGTTCCAACATAGTAATGGTATTGTAATTATCAAATTCAACGAAAAATTTATATAAAAGTATATTACCGTTGGATATAAAGACATCCTGGTTCCAATAATACAGAAAAATTACAACTTTTGTCATCTTTATGGCGAAAGATCATAACTGTTGGAGACATAAGACAAATTCCAGCAACGATGCTTCCAGAATACTGAAATTTTAAATTATAATAAGTCAAAGACACAAGAATTCGGATGCTACAAAAGTGATAGGAATATAAATACAGTACATCAACGTTATCAACATGAGGTTTAATACCACCGGTTTCAGATAAATCCAAGATATGAACTGGTAACCATTCAACAGTTCTCGGAAAAAAATCATAAACCTTTTTATTAAAAATTTCTATTACTTTGTCGTTTTGATCACCCCAATGAGAGGCTTGACATTCTCTATAACCCTGAATAACGTCATCGAAATGACTATCTTGGTAGACTATTTGTTTACCAAAGACTCTTTTCAATTTTTTTAAAGATCGATCAAGAAGAAATTCTTGTTCAAAAGGAGTGAAATGATTAGGTAAAAGAATGAAATCTTCGTGTGAAAATGATGTACATTCCGTGGTATTGAATGGTAAATTGGAAAGGTCAAAAAACTTTAAAGATTCGGGTGAACTTTTTATGGTTTGATGATGACATCGACAAATTAGGGAAAACCTTCTTAATGGTCTTGATGGCGATAACAAGTCAATGCATGAAAAACTTGAATTATAACGACAAAAGTATCTTAAAATTGAACCCATTTCTTTTATTATATCTATAATAATACCAAATAATTTTTTTAATTTGTATACATCATCAGCCAATAACATGACAATTGCTATTATAAAAAGAATAGATCGACATATCGATATAACAATTCTTTTTTAAAAATATTACTGATTTTAAAATAATTTACAAATTACAATAACCTTTGATTCTAAAAATAATTATGAGTATTACTAACTCAAATATCTAATAATATAATCTATTTTGTCGACAATTACTCTCATGAGTATGTATATATTTTAATATTTTGACTTTGTTTTTCTGCCTAATTTACGTCTACGTGTTTGACTCCTTGGATTGTCACCAGTCTCACTACGTTCATCATCACTGGAAAATGGCTCCTGATCATCACCAGATCCTTCAGTAACTCGTTCTTTCTTAGGATTCATTGAAGTCATTAATTTATCTAAAACAGAATGACAAATTAAGACTGGGTATAATCTACCAAAACTAGGTTTGGATACTTCATCTTCGCTTAATACAAATTCATCTCCCTCATCTGTGAGGAACATAACATTATCACTATCAACAATGAATGGTTTTTCATTTACATAAACTCTCTTCCTAGTATTTTGCTTTTTCATTCGTTTTCCCCAAGCAATTTCCCTGGCCTCTTGTATAAAGTATCTAATTCGTTTTTTTTCTTGATAAAAATTCACCCACATTACAATATAATGCAGGATTGAGCTCAAAATGAGGAGACCAACGATAACTCCAGTGAGACCAGGTCGATATCGATTATAATAGTATCCTGTTCCACGCCACTTTGGAACACCATTTTTTAGAAAAAAATTATAACGGTCTCGAGTTTCTGTATTGCGAAGTATTGTTGTAATTGATCCCAATAAGGTAAATAATTGTTGGCTGCGCTCGTCAGGATTTTTATCTGGACTAGTTAAAAAAAAAAAAAGGTTTAATATTCATTAATACATAATTAATCAATTACGACAAAAAAAAAAAGAAACTCAGACAATTAACGTACTGATGAAGGAGTGATAATTTTCTGTATGCTCTGCCTATTTCCTTTTCGGTAGCTGTCGGTTCTACTCCAAGTAGTGAATAAAATGTTGTATCTTCTCCTTCGAGACCTGTAAGCTGATCCACTAGATCAAAAATCTCATGATCCACTATTATAAATAAAAGATTATTTACGAATTTAAGGAATATTTTTCTTATTGAAATGCTTTGTAAATATGCATAAAATACATACCATTATCCCACGCTTGTGCAATAGGTAAAATGATTAAGATAAAAAGAATGAAAATTGCACCAAACGTAACAAGTCGATCTTTGAACATCGCTCCTAACAACTCCAGAAAATTACAAGTTTTACTTTTATATTATAAATCTTAAAAGAAAGGATATTTGTGCAATCACGATAATAATGAAATATTGTAAAAAGTTTTATTTGCCATTATTTGACTTGATAAATAATTTTTTTAAATTTATCGTTATTTGACCAATCAATACATCGTGATACATTCATTGTATGTAATTGTGCTACTAAAAAAAATCTATTGGGAAATACCGAACTTTTGCGTTCATAACTGATAAATCAGGATTACATATATGTAATACTGTAATATGTTTATCGTTATATTATTGGGGGTTTCAGTTTTTTGAAATTTCGAATTCGTAAATTATTTTCTTTATTTAGCGAACAAACTATCCAACAATTCGTTCAACATTACCTGTTTTGCTTTTTTAATTTCGAGATCTATACTTGTATGAAATTTGAGATATCTCATTAACGACTCGTTGTGATGAATAATGATATAATAAATTCGACACCTGACAAAGGCTATTTAATCGGTCCACTTTGGTCCAAAAAGGCTAGGACTGATTAGAGCCAATTATGCGTAGAGATGGTCATCTTGACGTAATTTATCTTTACTTTTTATTTTGAGGCTATTAGCAATATTGTTATCCAAACATTGCTCGTGAACTTTAATATATTAAGGTCCTAGTTTTTTTCTTGGAATGTAAAATCGATAATTATTATTAGTTCGAAGGATTAGAATAATGTTTTGCTCAAAAATTCTATAGAAATTACAAAGAGCTAACATGATTTTGGTACCATTTGATTCGTCTTGATGAATGGTAACAAAACTATGTAATTCTGATTAATAGTTCGCGAGGTAATTAATTTTTTGTGAAGAATTTTTTTGTCTTTTTCCTAGCACCAAGCACATATTATAAAAGAAAATAGATAAAAGTTTTTAAACTAAATTAAAATAAAAGAATGAGTTAGTAAAATATATTATACAGTATTGGGATCTTTGCTAGCAAAATCTCTTCAAGATTTTCTGATCGGGCTAATTCAGAAAAGCTTAGACTAGAATATCGGTTCTTATTTATCTTATTACTTTATTAATAGGCCTCCACATGGGCCTGGGCTACCCATGGATACCCGCGAATAGTACCATAAGGGCCGGGTTAGGGTAATGATTTCTGAGCCCTAGAGTAGGGTAAGGGCTTAAAAATAAAGCCCTTACACAAACGGAATAGGGCTAGGGTAGTATCATGGGTACCTGCTAGTTGTTCATCGTATACCCACTGCGGTTTTTTGAAAAAGAAAAAACCTACCTGGGATTTAAACAAATAGCATTATTTCTATCGAATACACAATTATCAACTGAAGGTAAAATGTTTAATTTTCATCCTGTATACATAATAACTCTCAACTTTAAAAATTTAAAGGAGCTATTGCTCTTGCAGAATACCTTCCAGGAACTAGATAATTAGTCCCTAATAAGCAATAAACTTGAAACCCAGATAATGGGTTTTATTTCTTACTATGAATTCATACATTTCTTTACCAATTTTACATAACAGCCAGGAGTTCCGAAAGCAAACTCCAGATGTAATCCAGTGCAAATCTTTACTGCAAGTTCTTCATTAAATTGATAACCCTTTGTCTAGCTGATATTTCTACTATAATAATACCAAATTCATAAAGAATTATTATAAAACGCACCTATAGTGTTTTACACCTATGTATAATTTCTTTTAATAAAATTTAGGGTTAGGGTTAGAAATTAGAGAATTATTGTTTTTTTTATATAATATATATAGAGCTACTATAAGGGCCCGATAGGGCCCGATCTCAGTTCTTATAAGATTTTTGGGGGTCCTGAACATTTTTACTTAGAGGACCCAATCCTGTTTACTTAGTACGTTTTTGAGAAACGGGACCATAGGTGTAAAACACCATAGGTGTGTTTTAGTAAAAGTCATTCATAAATATCTACTGCTTGTGTAAACTGCTCTTTGCCTGATAAAACTTCTGAAGCAACATAGGGCAAGACTTCAAAAATATCACTCTCTAAAATACATTCATCATTCTTACTAGACAATTCTAAATTTGCAATATAAGATTGTACATCTTTATTAGTACATTGGTTTTGCAAAATGTTACCACTATGAATATATTTTGCTGAGTGAATATAATCAAACTTAAGTGAAATATCTTTAAGTATTTGTAATTTAGTCTGCCATGTAAGTACTAAAATTCTCTTTTAAATATTTACAGAGGCTTCTTTTATTAGCATACTTAAATACTATCAGTATTTATTGATTTCTGTATTTTTAGTTATTGCAAGCTTAGTAAAGTTTAATTTACATGTTACAAAACTTTTAAACTTTAATTTTAAACAATAAATTAGTTCAATAAAACTATTAAATTTATTATAAAAGCAACAAAATAACTTATCTCTTTTAAAAAATCAAACCTGTTTCCTTAACCTGTCATTTAATGATGGACAATAATACTAGTAAATATCATACTGTATTTATTTATTTATTTTTTAATATTGAGGTGACCACTTAAGCCCCTGGCACTTTATTAGTTCAAACGGGTGGGTCATTGTCCAAAGACTGGCTTATATATTACATCAGTATTATGAGAGTACAACTAGTCACACGTACAACTTTTGGTTGCCTATTTAAATAGTCCACCTGAAGCGTTAGTGCTATGCTAAGGGTTCTACACTAGCTGTCATACCTATAGCCTAACTAGAAAGCTATCTATTTAAAC